TTAAAAAAAAAAAAAAAAGTTCGCAGCCAGGAGGCTGCGCTTGTGTGGATTCCATTTTCGTCGTTTCATGTTCTTTCTATTTTCTATTTTCGGTAAGATCGTGCAGTACAGCTTCACTAGGACGGGTTCGTTTGGGGTCTCCGACAGCAGAAAATAGGGTCCGTTCGCAGTCATCCCTAAGACCGGTCGTAGGGCAGGTTATCTCATCAAGGTCGTTGCAACTTAGTATAGGGTGCCGTCCATTGTTTCCCTGTTGAGGGATAGAGTTTTTTCCCGTTAAAAATTGGGGGCGGGTGATATGGGTTTGGGCGGGCGATTTGGGTCTGGGCTTTTTTTTTTTTTTCTCTTCTACTGCATCTTCCCAGAAATACAGTATCGAAGCATTCTGCCGTTTGTTACCAAGTAACGAAATCTAGAGCGAACTGCCCTGCCTCGTTGGCAGGGCTTACTAAGAAAAGAAAAAAGAAAAAAAAAACGTACTTACCTTTGCCACGAGAGTTGTGGACTCCACTCTGACCACATGTGCAAAATGAGCATGAATCTTCTGGTAGAACCTAAGTAGATACACTGCTAGTAGTTAAGAGCTTGAAATGCCCTTTTTCCTGGCCGTGTGTGGGGCGGTACAGCCCTCAGTAGCTTGCTATTCGTTTTTCAGGGTTTTTTTTTTTTTTTTTTTTCCCTCTTGCGATCCAAGAATGTGGGCTCCGTCCAGCGGCCTAGCTCGGTTAGGCACGCAAGTGGCATTCAGGAGGTTGTGAGTTCAATCCTCGCCTATGGCGCTCTTGATGCCAACCAACTGAGACAGTCGGCCGGATCCTCCCAGTTTGAATCAGTAAGGTCTTCAGCCAACACGGGTGTGAGTGCGCGTGTGAGTGGGTTGCGTGTGGCGTGTGGGACATTGTTGGCTTAAGACGCAACCATCCAGAAGGCTGCCCATCCCCCACTTCATATGATCACTGTGTACTCAGTGACTGGCCTCTACAACACCATGGACTTTACAAAATGAAAAAAAAAAAAAAAAAAAAAAGACCTTTGCCAAGCTTACTATCTAGAACATAAATCATGCTACCCGAATGGCTGCGTCCCCGCGTCAAACGCGGTATAACAGTTGTTGTGCATCTTTGAAATGTCTATAACCCTATATTTTTAGCTTGTTTTTCTGGTTTTTCTTTTTAGCCCTAAAAATATCTCTGTGTAACCAAAAAGAAAAAAACTAATTTCATCTGTTTTTTTTTTTTTTCACTGTCTTCTTTATGTTTTTTATTGTTTTTAAATATAGTAAAAGGCTAAAAGCTCAAAAAATAAAAACAAAAATATGAGGTTGTAGAGCTCAAAAAGATCTACAACCCTTTTTTTTTCTTTTTTTTTTTTTTGATTATTTTTAGCCCACGAAAAAAATCATCGCGGGTCCCGTTGTAACCCGTCTAACGGGCTTTTCAACGGGATTCAAAGCGGATTCAACGCGCGTTGAATCTTTCAACGCGCAACCCGCGTTGAATCGATTTTCGGACACACAGTCCATCTCATGTTTGCAATCCATGTCCTTCATTCCACACTCCTTGCTTTCCCTTAAGTTCCCTTTCTAAGGCTTTCTTTGTTTTTTTTTCCATCTTAAAGTTTTCACTGTGTTAAAGTTTCTGGAACTTTTTTCTCAATTTTTATGAAATGGTTGTCTCTTTGTTATGTTGTTGGATCCTGCGTCTTTATGTTTTTTTTCTTTTGTTTTCGAACTTGCAACGAAGTTGCCTTGACTTTTGCCCCTCCTCCCCTCCACATTTACACTGCCTCTTTTTTGAAGTCGTACAAGTGGGGCCCTTATGGCACACGGGGATGAGGGAAGTTGGCGCTCAACGTCATCAACATCGCGAGCGTCTTGACTGAGAGGCATAGTAAAGCGGGAGCAAAAAGAAGATATGATCAAAAGAACAGTTTGACAATGTGTGCTCTTCATGTTAATCTTATGTATTTGTATTGGTTGTTTTCCAACGTGCGCTGTTGGAGCTGATATATATGTGACATTATAGTATTATTCAGAATTTATTCTATTTGACAAGATATATATATATATGAGTCGGTGAAACTCCTACGAAACAGTTTGTCACAGCCCCTCGTTTGTTGTCCTCTTCTCTCTCTCTGCCTACGGTTTACCGGGCAGTTCTATTTGTGACAATATATATATATATATCATCACAAACAGAACTGCCCGGTAAACCGTAGGCAGAGAGAGAGAAGAGGACAACAAACGAGGGGCTGTGACAAACTGTTTCGTCGGAGTTTCACCGACTCATCAGGAGGCTGAACATATACGGTTTACCGGGCAGTTCTGTTTGTGACGATATATAGACACGGTGAAACTCCGACGAAACAGTTTGTCAAAGCCCCTCGTTTGGTGTCCGCTTCTCCCTCTCTGCCGACGGTTTACCGGGCAGCTCAATTTGACGATATATATGATATATTGTATATAATTATTATATATAATTAATAATTATTATTATCATAAATTCATAATTATATATAATTAAAATTTTCCAATTTATCAATAAGAAGAATTTGGGAAATTTCTCAATTTGTGTGTCACCCTTCTGCAGGGGCCGTGCTAATCTTCTATGTATTGCTCCAATCTTTACGGATGGCCCGACGAACAGGGAGGAGGATTGACTGTCAGGTGTGCCATGTTTCCCTTCTTTTTAGCTCAGTTGGTCGAGCGCTGGTCGGTTATGCACCTTTGTGGCTTAGGGTGTGGGTTCAAATCTTTGAGCGTGCACTCTGGTGCGCTGGTACTGGATATTGCTATTCTGCAATATTCACCGTTGTGGCTTAGGGTGTGGGTTTGAATCTTCAGGCATGCACTCTGGTGTGATTTTCTGAATATTGATATTGTGGATTCACTGCACAGAGCTTAGGGCCATTCGCGCACTGCGTTTGCGCTGTAGCCAAGATGGATTGGGTGCCTGCAGGTTCACTTCCGCAGGTTGCTGGTTAGAGCGTTGCCGTGACCAGTGGGGCACCTGTGGCGCATGCTGCAGGCCAGGAATTAGACCTCAAAATAAACCCGTTCTTCGGGGACGCAGGTTGCAGGTTCGATCCCTGTCACGCCCGAGTGAATGCTTTGGGGCAGGCTGCTGGTTCCCTGTCCGAGCCTAGATGGAAGGTGCTCAGTCGACTAGGGGGGTCCTGAGCCCGCTGTCTTGTGCCAGGGTAAGATTGCAGCTGGCAGCGCTCTGGAGCATCTACGGCTGGCTGGCTAGGATGAGATCTGTGCCTGCTGTCTGTGACCCGGCAGCTGGGCTACACTGCCACTACAGTGCATTTGCCTACTCGGCTCGGGCACCCTTTGGGGGAATGGCCCAATAAATTGTACCAGTTGGAGGTAGGCGGTTCTTGATGAGAATGGAAGGGCTCCTCGCAGCACCTCAGGGGGAACGAGGGTGACGCCTGTGCGACTGGGTACTGTAAAGGTCTTCCAGTGCGGGATACTCTCGGCTGTTAACTCTGAGGTGAGGCCGGGTTGGTACCTGCGCTCTTGAGCTGAAATGCCAACTGCCCTACCCTGAACATGTACAAAAAAAAACAAAAAAAACAAAAAAAAAGGGGGATAAAACCCGACGCAGCCGTAACTTGACCGTGTTCATCTGTTTCCGTCAGGATTCAAACTCGTGCTCTGTTTACTTATAGAATCTTCAGATACATACATGTACGGTGTACCATTCAGCCACATGGGTTCGGTCGGTCATCATGTCTTCCATTTCTACCCGCCCTTTTTCGTAGTTACTGTAGTGATTTGTGAACCCCCCATTTTTTGCTTCTTTTCCCCTTGCCCCCCCCCGCCCCTTTCTCCCCCACCCCCTTTGGCTTCCCCCCCCTTTTGGTTTGGATATCTCAGTACCAGCCCAGCGATGCGCAGTGAAGAGGATGTTGATCAGCTTCTGCACATGACGGAGCCAAATAAATTCTTCCAGGGACTGCGGAAAAGGGTGCACCAGCAAATTTGCAGGGCCCTCAGGTTCCGACACTGTGCGGGAAATGAAATAGGTATGCGTGGAACCATGGGTCTATCCCATTTATCACCCCATCTATCACCCCTCTGCAACTCACCAAATATAAATATTTGATAGCTTCCTACACCTGTATCATGTGCGAATTCTAGGCCAGATACGTGCAAAAGTTATGACGACAAACCATGTGTCGCCCTCCGGTTCTGATGCTGTGATGCTGTGCCCCCAATGAAATAGGTATGCATGGATCCATGGGTCCATCCCGTCCATCCCCCTTTTGCAACCGGCAAAATAAGTATTATGACGACTTCCTTCAGCTGTATCATGCGCCAATTCTAGGCCAGATTCTCGCAAAATTTATGAAGTCAAATCCTATGATGTACTGAAGGGAATAAGGTGGGCTTGCCAGCCATCTTGGAGGGTCACAAGTCTGCTACCAGAATAGGGAACCTGCAAAGGAATGTCAAAGGAGACTTTCAGCTATTCGCAGCAGAAATATCAGCCCACTTGCAAAGATTAGGAGATCTTTGAACTTGATCTCACTGATCTATGGCCAGTGTCTCTCAGGTCCAGTCCAGATAAGTGGGTTGGTGCCCCGGATCCCAATTTGCCTGCCCCCTCCCCCCCGCTGTCTCTCTCTCTCTCTCTCTCTCTCTCTCTCTCTCTCTCTCTCTCTCTCTC